ATTTAGGAAATAGGAAAATATGTTTTTAGCTGATGGTTTCCAAGAACTTATGAATGTTGATTACAGTCCTTATACCTACAGTGCTTTAAGTGGCAGTCTTATTTGTTGAGTCCCTTGCTTGTAATAAAGATAATGTAAATTAGGTATAAATAGAAATATTTAAACTTATCAAACAGCTAACCCCACCCTGATCTACTGTTTATGAAGTTTGGATTTATAAGGTGAAGGAGAAGTAGTTGGGGACCTCTCTTAGTCTTAGCTTTTTCTTTGAGCCTTTAGGTACTTTTCATACCAACAAGTTTTCCATACCAGCTACTGTGCTTGTAATAAAGATCCCTGTTAATGTAAATAGGTATAAATAGAAATATTTAAACTTATCAAACAGCTAACCCCACCCTGATCTACTGTTTATGAAGTTTGGATTTATAAGGTGAAGGAGAAGTAGTTGGGGACCTCTCTTAGTCTTAGCTTTTTCTTTGAGCCTTTAGGTACTTTTCATACCAACAAGTTTTCCATACCAGCTACTGTGTCTAAACCCAAGGACCTGTTGTCTTTACTTAGCTGCTAGGTCTTACCTTGACTCTCTGGATTCTGCCTGAATATTAGCAGATAGGATGTTGTATAAGCTAATAGCTATATATTAGTCTCTAAGCTAAACTCAGTCTGTTTGGTTAGGTCCTTAATGGAGCTCCTCTCCCTGCATGTGTCCTATTGTCCAGAACCAGCATCTACCAGCAAGAGCCCTTTTGCAATGTTAAGCTCTGGTGTGCAACAGAATATCCAATGGAGGAAGTAAAAGAAATGCTACTACTTAGAATCTATTGCCTGATTTAAAAGATGTCATTAGTATTCATGCTGTGGGTCATACATAGGATAGATAAAATACTTGATTTATCAATCTGCAACAGATACCTTTTCTAGATCTTGGGAAAACCAAAATGGACCATAATATAGAACAGGTATTTTCAATAGAGAAAAATTATTTCCTGTTCACACATTGTACCTTTTGCCTTTCTAGTTCTTTGGTCACAGTGTGCTAGTTGTAGTTCTTGTTCAGTCATGTTAAACTAAAATGTGAATGTTTGATTTAGAAAAATAAAAAATTTCTTACTGGAAATAGGGTAGTAAAAATATGTATACATGCAGATAACAATAGCCTACTTACTTTTGAACTTAAAGCTTAGAAATGACTTGAGAGATAATATATACCTGTAAATTACCACAATATAATGTAGAAAGTGGTAAGTTCTTGACTTTTTCCCATTTCTATGAGGCCTTGCCTATTAGGTCATGTAATATACCCACAGTAGAGTTCTTAGTAACAATTGAGCTGATGGCTTGGATAGTTTCTACAATAAAGGATGGACATATTAGCCATCATGAAAACATAAGGAAATTAAATACCATTTGCTGAAATCCTATCATGTGCATAGTTCTGTTCTTCGCTATTTTTTATGTTTTAGATCTCATTTAATCACATGAATATTTGATGCTATCCAGATTTTTCTGTTTTATTTTAAATATAGGGTAATCTGATGTTCTGAAATAACTTTTCTATAGTTAGCCAATTAATGATAAAGCTGGAAATCAGATTGCAAAAATTATCCCTCAAAGCCCATGCTGCTTCTCCCCAGTGAAGCTGTCTCTCCCATTAGTCAATAAGTTACAGCAATGTGAGAAGGCTTGTATAACAGGGAACTGCTACTAAGGTGGTGGTTTCTTGATGTCATTAAAGTATAATGGAGGTTAGGTGAACCTTTTTATGTATCCTGTAGTTGAGCATAGTTTATTGCCATGGAGTCTGTACTTCTAAATATTATGACATATTTAGTCATACTGTTTACTACTAAAATGTCGAATGGTTGAAGTCATCTTCTTTCTCTGATCTAGGAGTACTTCTCTTGATGTAGAGCCTATCTATACATTCAGGGCTCATAAGTAAGTATGTGCTTTTTCTTTATTTTAAACCAACATCATTGTAAAACAGCTTAATTGTAATATCTTACATTCTTTCACTTGCATATTTTTATGTAATTTTTGTATTTAGTACTAGTGGGGGGTTGTAAATGTGAAAGAACTTGGTAGATAATATAATGTTAAAAATAAGTTTATCACTGCTAAGTAGGGATCCAGCTATGCGTATGTATTATAAAACGAAGTGAAAGCATTTAGGGTTAAATATTAAAAATTCTAGCATTTGGGGGCTGGGGAGATGACTCAGTACTTAAGAGCACTTGTTCTTCCAATGGACTGAAGTTCAGTTCTCAGTACCCATGTTGGATGGATCATAACTACCTATAACTTCAGCTCCCCGAAATCCCAAGTCCCTCTGGCCTCCACAGGCACCTACACACCACCTGGCTTTTATGCGCAAATGCGCACAAGTGCACACACAAATAAAAATAAATCTTAAAAGAAATTCTTGCATTTTTTCTCCACTAAACATAGCCTATATAAAGACAGTCAAAGGTTGGGGACGTAGCTTAATGGTAGAAGGCTTGCCCAGCATGCACAAAGCCCTGTGTTTTCTCCAAAGCAATGCACTCACACATACATGCCAGTGAAAAGAGCAGCAACAAACATGGATTTACAAGTGTCTCTGCAATAGGATGTGGTATAACTGGGCCAAATGGTAGGTTCATTTGGAGGTTTTTTTTTTTGTTTTGTTTTGTTTTTTTGTATTTTTTAACCAAGAATACTTTTTATGGTTACCACATATTTTCCCATTTCCAATTAAGTGTAAGAGACATGTCTTCACTAGATTTATCACAGTGATTGGCATACCTTTTAAAAAAATTTTATTTATTATGTGTATTGCCTGCATATATGTAAGTGCACCCATGTTGTGCAGTGCCCATGGAGTTCAGAAGAGGGCGTCGGATCTCCTGAAACTGGAGTTACAGGCAGTTGTTTGCTGCCATGAGGGTGCTGCGAATTGTACTCAGGTCTACTTTAAGAGCAACTAATGCTCTTAACTGCTGAGCCATCTCTCCAGCTTCTAGCATGCTTTTTATATAGGTTAGAAAGTAAATATTTTTCTGGCTTGGAAGGCCATATACTTGATAATGATGCTACTTCCTCTTCCCTCTTCTTTCTCTTTTTTTAAAAAATATTTGGTTTGTATTTGATATTGCTGAGGATTGAACTTAGGGCCCTCGTGCAGCATATTCTTTGTTGTTGTTATTGAGGGGGGTTAACCTTCAAAAATATAAAATCATTCTTAGCTTGAGGACTGCACAAGGACTACTGGATCAATGTAGTCTGGAGGTCATAATTTACCAACCCTTGGTTTACTAGAGAAAGAAAAATGAACCATGCTTCAATAATATTTTTATTCGTTATTAAAAATGTGAAAAATAGAAATCTATTGAATAAACATTCTAATTTTTGAGAAGCTATATTGTAGGATTGATTTTTGCAAATAGCCATTTGCTTACACCTATTAATATATTTGATGTCCCAGAGGTCCAGTGCTTTGTGTAGTAATGAGTAGCAATGGTGAGCAGTGTTACAGTGGTGGTACTGATGGACTGATCCAGGGCTGGAATACCACCAATCCCAACATCGATCCCTATGATTCATATGGTATGTGATTCCCCAAAGTTCCAAATGTTTTCTTTGTATACAGTTTTCGTAGTTTGCATAAGAGTTGAAAATAACTAAAGAGAGGCGTGTCCTTATTTTGTTAAGAACTCCCCCTATATTTAGGAATCAATTATATGCATAATGGTGAGAGTAAAAACAGTTTTTTTGAGAAAGCAGTTCTCATCCCTGAAAAGTCTTACTGATCAGATACTGGCTTGATTAATAATTTTTTTCTTCTGTTAGGTATCTGTTAGGCACTTGAAATATTATTGCTTATCTGTAATCATACTTCATTTCTGTTTCTGACAACTTTGAAGGAAAATAAATACTGGCATTGTCTTCTTGATCAGAAAAGGGAAATAGAGGCCAATTAAAGTCCATGCCACCAAATATTCTTTCAGCGGTTAGCTATGTGTAGTTGTGGGTGTATGTCCTTCATCCCGGAACTTGGCTGGTGGAAGCAGGAGGATTGCTATGTATTCAAGGCCAGCCTTGTCTACTTATTGAGTTCCAGGCCAGCTGGATTATGGAGTGAGACCCTGTCTTTAAAAAAAAGAAAGAAAAAAAGAAAAAGTGCCCTTTAGTTTTAGGATCAATATTCTTTATTACAATATCTCTCTGGGTATTTTCATAAATTATTTTGCAAAATTGTTTTAAGAATGTTTAGGCTGTTTTGGTCTCATGTCAAGTTGTAACATTGTTTAACATGTTTGTCATAAAAGCATATTTTAATTTCACTATCAATTTAGATTACCATCAAACCTAAGTAAACATAAAGTCATCAAACAAAAATCTCTCCCTAGATTTATTTAATGAGCATTAAAAATAAACCTTTTTTGAATAAGGAAAGTGTATACTTTTTAATTCTAATTTAAAACTACATTTACATATTTCCAAGACTACATGTAATTATTCCAGCATTTCAAAAGAATAATGGAAACTAGGAAAAGCACATGAAGCTGTTTTCTGATGCTTTTATGTTTTACAGTGGAACCTAAGTACCTTTGTAGTTATTCTTCTTCCTGGTTTTGCACTTCTTGTTTCCCACAGATCCTTCTGTTTTAAGAGGCCCTCTGGTGGGCCACACAGATGCGGTGTGGGGGTTGGCTTACAGTGCAGCACACCACCGTTTGTTGTCCTGCTCAGCAGATGGCACTCTTCGTGTGTGGAATACAGCTGAGGTTGCTCCAGCACTAAGTGTGTTTAGTGATAATCAAGGTAAATTCCTTAAAATGTGTATTTTTTATAAAATATCTTACTCTGGAAATAAACAAGCAAATAAATGATTCTGTGAACTCTTACTCTGCACATTTCTAAAGGTTTTTTGAAGCAGCAAAAGTATTTTTATTTAAAATTCCAATGTTATGTATAATTCTTAAAAGCATAGCACATGATGAGAAAACATATTTCAGATTTTGAAATTGAGGTCTATCTTATTTACAGTGAAAAAAATACAGCCGGTGTGGTAGTGCATGCTTTTAATCCCAGCATTCAGGACGCAGAGAGGCAGGTGGATCTTTGTGAGTTCAAGGCCTATTTGGTCTACATAGTGAGTTCCAGGTCAGCTGGGGCTATAGAGAGACCCTGTTTCAAAAAAGAGAGAGAGAGAGAGAGAGAAAGAAAGAAGGAAAGAAGGGAGGGAGGAAGGAAGGAAGGAAGGAAGGAAGGAAGGAAGGAAGGAAGGAAAGAGAAAAAAATACAGATGTTATGAGTTCACTTCAATGCATCTAATAAATAGTGCAGCCCTGTAGCTCACACAGATCAAGACCCAGTACATTTCTCTCACCTCCCCTAGGCAGACCTCTTTCCATACTCCCAGCCAGCTATACCTCCTGTTAAGATTTCAATCATCATGAATCAGTTTTGCCCTTAAATTTGATAAAATTACAATACAGTATGTACTCTTTTATATCTGGATTTTTCTCCATTATGTTTCTTCAACTAGTGTCAGTTTATTTCTCTTTGTTATTTTGTTAAGCCATAGTTTGTCTATTCATTTATCTCTTGATAAACACTGAGGTTGTTCAAATTTGAGGCTGTTAAGAACAAAGCTACTACAAACATTAATATGTTTTCATTATTTGTCTTTTTATTTACCTCTTGATGGATACTTGGGTTGTTCCAATTTGGGGCTATTATGAACAAAGTTCATCATGGGTACGTAGAGACCTAATATTAGAACTATGGACTTTAGGGTAGGTGTTTTGTTCTTGTTGTTAACTTTATGTAAAATAGCCAACATTTTTTTCTCCAAAGTAGTTACAGCATTTTATACCCCAACCTGCAATGTGTGAGTTCCACTTGTTCTGTGTTCTCAGTAACTTTTGGTCTTATCAGACTGTTTCATTTTAGCCATTCTGGTCTTACTGGGGTCATATTTTATTTCAGTTTCAGTGTTGGAGTTCTTTGATGGTTCATTAGGTTGAGCTCTTTTTGTTGACTTATTGGATATTCATAGGTTTTTCTGCCGTATCTACAGTCTAAAATTGTTTGCTTACTTTAGTTAGATGCTGAACCAAATGAAAAAGTCAATTATTTTATTAGTTTTATATCTGTCATTCTATTTTGTTTGTTTTCTTAAGACAGGGCTATTATGTAGCTGAAGTTTTCCTAAGTTCACTTTGTAAACCAGACTTAATTCATGATCTTCGAGCTCTAGCCTCCCAAATGCTTGACTTGTACTCATATGCCATCACACCCAGCTTTATTCTTCTGTTTTCATGGTATAAATGAGACTCAAGTTTAGTCCCTTAGATGATACTCTTGTGTGTATGTGGTAATTCAACCTAGGGTCTTGTACATTTTATGCATGCTACCAATGAGTTAACTCCCAGATGCAGAATACTTTTATTCTTCAGCAAAGGTTATACAAGGTGTTTTGAGCTATCATAACTTGTCTTTAGTCTTGAAGACTTGCCCCTGTGCTAGGCAAGCACTGAGCCACCAGCTGGAGATGGATTGTTTTTAAATGAAGAATTCCTCCCTTGTCACTCTAAGCCTAGTATTGAAGGGGAAGCTGTACAACTTATAGTCCATATATGATTCCATTTGCCCTCTTAATAAATTTTTGCACTTCATGTGTGTATTAGAATAATGGGTAGAAAACAGGTATGCTGAAGAAGTAAGGATAATAAAATAGATTAAGGCTAAATATTACAAAAGAAATACTTCATTGAATGGTTATAAAATAATTCTTGCTCTACTGTTAGGCCTTATTTACTTAAGCCATGCCATTATTTGTTTGCTGCATTTTGAGCACTTTGTCAAGAAGACCCTTTAATTACCATGCTCTGAATATTTCTAACTCCTAGAACTGGGAATCCCTGCCTCTGTGGATCTAGTGAGCAGTGACCCGAGCCATATGGTAGCATCATTCAGCAAAGGATACACAAGCATCTTTAACATGGAAACACAACAACGAATTCTCACGTTAGAGTCCAATCTAGATGCAAGTATGTATACCAATTTTTAAAAGTCTTTGTCTAGATTTGTTTTTAAACTTAAAAGTATAACTGCTAGAGTCAGCTATGAAGAATACTTGTCACTATAAAGTGCTATTATCTCCTAAGTCTCAGAATCCATTCACTTAAAAAATATGTTTTACAGCTGATCTTAAAAAAGTTAGGTTTATGTACATTTATAACTATATAATTCGATACAGCATATGAGGATCTGAAAAGATGGCTCAGCAGTTAAGAACAGTTGTGGAGAACAGGAGCTCAGTTCCAAACACTCATGTCAGGTGTCCCACAACCACCTGTAACTCCAGCTCTACAGGAGCCAATGCTTCCATGAGCACCCACACTCACTTGCATATACCCCCACACATATGCACATAATTAAAACTAAATAACTCTTGAAATAGTATTTGAGTTATTCCACAGATGAATTAGGTTAAGTTTATACCAAATTACCTATCTGTCAATTCTATTCAAGGAAGACACTATTCTGAATAGAAAATAAAATCTTTTAAAAATAATTTTTAAACATTTTATTTATTTTATGTGTATGAGTATATTGCCTGCATGTATGTAAAAGTGCACCTGTGTTGTGCAATGCCCGTGGAAGTCAGAAGAGACCATTGGATTCTTCTGGAACTGGAATTACAGATGGCTGTTAGCCACCATGTGGGTGCCAGGAATTAAACCCGAGTCCTCTGCAAGAGCAGCCAGTGCTCTTAACCACCGAGCCATCTCTCCAGATCTTTTTAAATAGTTTTAATCTTCATCAATTTTATATTCTATATATTATTGTATAGTTCAGTGCTAACTAGAATGTATGACTTTCAGAATCTGAAATTTCTTTATGTGTGCATATGTATGTGTTCTTGTGTATGTAGCCAGAAGATGGTGTTGGGTGCTTTCCTCTACCACTCTCCACCTTATTTTTTGAGACAGCATCTCTCATTGAACTCAGAGCTTACCTTTTTGGCTAACTGGTTAGCCAGTGAGTTCTAGAGATCCACCTGTCTGCTCTCCCCAGCACTGGAGTTACAGGCACACACCTCCATGCCTGTGTGCTGGGTATCGAAACTCAAGTCCTCATGTTTGCATAGCAAGTGCTTTACCCATTAAGTCCTCTCCCCAGCTCCAGAATTGGAACTTTTCTTCTGGATATAGGAAGTCAGAAAATAAATGCCCTCCCAGGTTACAAAGAAGTTATTAAAGAACTTTTTTGGTTTTGGCTTTTTTAAAATCAGTCACTGTTTTCTACCTTTAGTTAAATCCATGTAAACATGGTTTAGGTTGCACTTGATAAAACACTATACATGAAGTATAGTGTTGTTTTAATCTGAGAATTACCTTAAAAGTACTTAAATGGATGTGTATATGTATGAACATGTACATGTATACTTATCTTTTTTTTTCTCTTTACCTCTTTTCTCTCCTTCCCTCTCAAAAATTTCATCCTTTCCATTTGATTTATTTTCTCTTCTAAATATCTTATCCTTTTTTTTCTTCTGAAATGCTGTGTGAATTATTTGGATAAGTACACATAATTATAACTTTAAGCTACTTGGATATACAAGAAAACAAGAAAGTAAAATTTGAGATTATGGAATTAGATGAAGGGTTTTTTTTTTTTGCCAAGAAAATACTATTTTGTATTTTGACTATCAATAAGTTTTAAATTATATATTTAAATGTATTTAGACTATCAATAAGTTTTAAATCATATATTTAAATGCATGCTCTGAAGCATAGCAGCAAAATTTAAACACCACAAATTAGGAAGCATGTAAGCTTGTTTTGAATTACTTTCAGAGATTGTTACCCCTTTTTAAAATTTTCTGAGTACAAATGTTGAATTTTAATGTCTGCTATCAGTTGTTAAAGTTTGGAGGATAAGATAGGTAAGATGAACTAGGTAATCCCGTTTTTTTTTTTTTTTTTTTTTTGTTTTTTTTAGTCTCCAAGAGGTATGGCCATAAAAATAAGATATTTTTCCTAGTTCTAGAAACATTTTTAGAAAATTGTCAAGAATATTTTTTAAAAACAGCAACATTATTGGAATATATGATCATTATTTGATTTGTTAAATATAATAACATTCTTTGACACTTCTTAGATTATTGTTTTCATTATTTTTAAAGTTATACAAAGCATACTTATTTACTCTTTTACTCCATTCTACTGTAGACTATCCCTTTGCTATGTAGACTTGATCTCTTTGGACTTTAGCAGATTTTTAAAATTCAATTTCGAGGAAAACAGGTTTCATATAGAATGAATTTCTTGTAAAGTTTAAGGTGATGATGTTTGTTAGAATAAGAATAATTATTTTTGTCAGTGATGACAGTGGCAATTGGATTAGGATAAAGTCAAAGGTACAGAGTAGGTAATTGGATATTTGTTAACCCAAAGAAGAAATAAACCATTTTAAGTCAAAAGCTAACCATGAATACTTGGAGGATTCTTGAAAATTCACTGCTAGAGTAACTGCTAGGTCTTCGATTTATTTCAGTTGTTCTTTGCATTTTGCCCACTTCTCCGATTTAACAAAGTGGAGAAATTTCCTTAAAAGTAATCACAATAAGAATACTTTTTTTAATGAATTGATTTCCATAATATTTTCTGGGTTTTAGAATAAGTAACTGTATTCTTAAACTTCTCTCAGAATATACATATTCCACTTAATGTGTTTCCCTTTCATTGGAAATAGTTTTTTCCTGCTAAGCCTTATAAATGATACAGCCGAATGATTGCTGTTGCTGGAAGAAAATATGTATAGTCTGAATTTTGAAACTGAGCATCTCTATGTTTAGGATTGACTGAATCAGTATTCAGGGTATGGTGGTGCATACTTGCACTCCCAGCTCTTTGGGACACTAGGGCAGAAGAATTACAAGTTTAAGACAGCCTGAGCAGCCAACCAAAACAAACAACACCAACAACAAAAAAAAAACACACACAAAGAACTTACTCCACATAGCCAGATGACGTTTTCTCTTGTATATTGAAAACAGGCTGAGTACAGCAATGGATTCTCTTTGAAAACTCTTAAGTAATACAAAAATTTATTATACTGTTTAGAAATTAAAAATCTGGGGGACTACAAGAAGATGGTTATTTCTAGAACAATGGTGCAAAGAATGAACAAGAAATAATGTGAGAGCTAAGAAGCTCTCTGTTTATCTTTAGATCACAACTACATAAAATGAGCTTTGTATGTAGAAAGAACTGAGGCTTAAATTTGAGAATGATTTACATCTGTGTGATGAACTTTATTAAGGTAACAAAAATATCACAGAATACTGTAGCATGAGATGTCAGTGTCTCTCGGTCAAGTCTTCAGTGGCATCTGTGCATAACAGGTAGAAGAAATTCTAACTCATACCTACCTGTAGGTGTGCCAGTATGATTTAGCTCAGGCAATTCTCATAAAAATTGAAATTAGGGAAATTAATTAGAAATTAGAGAATGAATGAACCAAAGCTAAACTAAAGTCGCTTTTTTTTTTAACCTATTAGTTATTTAGTTCTCCCTTATGTGAAGAAACAACAACAAAAAAAACTTTGACTAATTGGTATCAGTCTTTAATTTTTCCTTTTTAGCAACCAATTCTTCCTGCCAAATAAATAGAGTCATCAGTCATCCCACTCTTCCGATCAGCATCACTGCTCATGAGGACAGACACATCAAATTCTATGATAATAATACAGGTAGGAATTTATTAAGGATTTTTTTTTGCTGAAGCAAGAAACAGCAATGAAAAAACCTAAACAATAACAATACCAACTAAAAGTAACCTAACTGTAGTGTTTGATGGTTGTTGTGCAGTTCTGAAATAGGCACTGAAGCATCGTTTCCCCACTCACTTTCTGTGAGTGCAAATCTACTGTCTAGTCTTCATTATACAATGGAAGGATTTTGGTTTGTTTAATAATAGTAAGCAGATGCCATATTTATGTTCTAGAGCCCAAGTTATTATTAGTAGGGATATAATGAAAATTTCATAGATATCAATAAAAATGATATGTGGCCATGATCAGTTGCAGTACATGGGGGTGAGTATTAATAGAAACATGTTAGAAGTAGAGACATGTAATTAAGGTTTGTTTTAAATTGTTCAGTTATTGAATAGCTATGTTCAATACTGTGATTAAATAGTTTTGTTCAGTATCACAGATGGAAATCTCCAGGTCATTTGTTTTATTTTTCTATAGACTGATCTTTCCTGCATATTAAATTTGAGTCTGGTCTGATTGAATTGGGGTGTGGGGCTTTCCCAGTTTTTATTGACTTGGATTTTACCAGTGTAAAGAAGATTGACAAAGAGCTGCAGTGGGAGAAAACTGCTTTGCTTTAGTAGCCATATTTCCTTGGCTGTCTGCTGATGGCCTTTTAAATATGATTTGCAGGTATGTTTAGTTGGCTGGTAATTTCCTATTCTAAATTCTTTTCTATATGTTACTTCCACCAAAATCATGGCCATGTTTTCTTTCTCTGCCTTCATCCCAGTCTCATATATGTAAATTTGAACTTTCTGTCCTCATAAACCCATATAATTTTTCTGTAACTGAAGGATACAAAATAAGATTAGTAATGTCTAAGTTCTAATTAATGGACATGTGAAAACTACCAAGTTGATTGTGGCTTAAATGACAAAAATCTTACCTGAAATATGAGCTGCTTTTGTTTCTCATTACTATTACTAGAAGCAAGATGGGGGATAGTATTGTTTGAGCTGATGGAAAAAGTTGTTGATAGAGGAAGTACACAGACAGGGATGACCAGGGAAACCATTGTAACATGGAAGGTAGCATATGGTCAAGATGAAGAAAATCAGTAAGAATAACCATCACTTTTTCCAAAGGCAAACTGATCCACTCGATGGTAGCTCACCTAGAAGCCGTTACAAGTTTGGCAGTTGATCCAAATGGCTTGTACTTGATGTCTGGAAGTAAGTACATTAGCTATGGATTATTTATTTGTACTTAACCATTTTCATGTTGACATAATTGTTCCTTTCCATTTCTTTTCTTTTGGTATAGGTCATGACTGTTCAATACGTTTATGGAATTTAGAAAGTAAGACATGTATCCAAGAGTTCACAGCTCATCGGAAAAAATTTGAAGAATCGATTCATGATGTTGCTTTCCACCCATCCAAATGCTATATAGCCAGTGCTGGAGCTGACGCACTGGCTAAGGTCTTTGTATGACATGATGCATCATCTTCACCTTCTAGCTCTTTATAAATAATCAACTGCACAAAAGAGATACAGAAGACCGGGGCAAGACTCGACTCATCCTGCCCTTTTGTCTGCTGAAGGAGCACAGAGAACATTTGTTAAAGTATAGTTTTGCAATTCATAAACTGTTTTCTAAAATAAAAGTTTGTTTAGGTTGCTGCAAGCTCAGCTGAATCTGTGAGCCTAAAAACTTTGAAATTTCCCCCCAAAGAGGCACTTTTATTTCTGAAGTTGTTCTAATTCGCTAGGCAGGCCTGAGCGAACACAGGTTTAGCTTATTCCTTTTGAGTAAACAGGGCATGCTATAATGGATAATTCAAAGCTGGATGGCTGGGAATGAGTAGAGAGGAAACTTAGATTTACTTCTCTCCTGAGAAATCTTGTTACACGTATTAGGTAGTCAAACAGTAATCTTTACTATATCTGCTGTACTAATCCCATTGTGTATAATGACCAGTGTTAAAATGAGATTTTAATTGAGCTCTCAACTGTTTTCATAAAGTACATGGCAAAGCATTTTACCTGTTAGAAAGGAAAGATTCAGTAGTATGTTAAATATGTTATTAATGAGAAATGCTAAACAAATGCTTAGTTTGCAAGCAGATTTCTATATTGTATTACAATTTTGAAAGTAGATTTGGTACCATTCTAAAATTTAACCATCAAATACTATTATGAAGAATAGTTGATAGAGTCTGCTTTTACTAAAGGATTTAACTTATTCAGGCTTGAGTTTAAGGGCAAACAGCGTGTCTCTGTAATTCTGTTTCAGAATTCACCTTGTTCATGTGCTATTTATAGTACTAGAGTGATTAATTCATATTGATGAAATATACGTCCTGGCGACTTTAAAAGACGAAAGCTGCTTTTTAGCATCCCATTTTTCAGTACCCATATATCCATGGTTCACATGATCCTTGCTATTTCTTTGCTGTTTCTTCCTTACCTTTCATGTTCATGCTGTCTGACACCTATCAAGAACAATTCATAAGTACAATGTCTTATAGTCCAAAGAGTATGGTTAACCTCAGGCAGCTGCTTTCACAGCAATACTAAATAAAGCAAATGTTTTGTGCCCTTGAAATCCTCTACTAGTAATTCAGTATCTCTAAGAACTTCTGGAAATCTAGGTGGAAGACTTTATTGATGACTGAAAGGTTCTTTCTCCTTTCTTTCCCTGTTGTTTAATTGGAATACACATTTTAATGACAATGACTCAATACTGTTTCTAGAGAAGTCCATATCTTAAAATGCCAGGTTTCCCTCTGATCTGTTACCCATATGTGGTCAGCTTTTGGGAGTCTTGTGCCCTCCTGTCTAAGCTAGCGCCCTATCATCCACTGTACCTGTAATTGTCATGCCCTCTCTATACTTCTTATAATCTTTCTCTTTTCTTTTTGTCCCAAATTACAGAGACCAGTACAAATACTAAAGATAAATCATTAGGGCCCAGGTGTGGTGGCGCACTCCTTTAATCCCAGCACTTGGGAGGCAGAGCCAGGTGGATCTCGGTGAGTTTAAGACCAGCCTGGTCTACATAGTGAGTTCCAGGCCAGCTGGGGCTACAGGGAGACCCTGTCTCAAGAAAGACCAAAAATTAAATAATTAAATAAATCAATAAATCATTAGATGCTAGAGAGATGGCTCAGAGAGGACCCAGGTTTGATTTTTAGCACCCATATTGCTGCTAACAACCATCCATAACTCCGGTTCCAAGGGATCTGATGCTTTCTTCTGACCTCTGTGGGCACTGCATGACATGGATGCACTTACACACATGCAAGCAGTATACTCATACACATGAAATAAAAATAAAAGTAATAAATAAAATATTAAATAAATCATTAATGTCCAACTTGTCATCAAAATTTATAAACCATAGATTCTCAGTCTTAAATATTATACCTATAAATGTTGAACCCATTAAGACAATTCCCACATATCTATACCTGTACATTCTGTTGACATAGCAGTGGCACTTTTGGTGATCTATTCCTGGAAGTATCATGATGATATGGATAATAATTGACATTTTTAAAATTCTGCTCATCTGCCTCTAGGATTCTTTAGTGTACAGGCAAATTTTCATTAAAGTTAAAAGACCTGTGCTAAATTGTCCTGATTGTTATACAGGCAAGCTGTAGTACTTTAACACAGCTACTTTTTATCTTTGTGCTTTGGTTAATAAGCAGGCTTAAGAGACTAATAGCATACTCAAGTGAATTGGGCTAGCTATAACTACCAGGTCAATGCTTAAATTTTCATGCAGATATAGAATTCCACATTGTGATTCATAAATTCCTTTCCATTCTTCATGAACTGAACAATAGGAGTTGCTAACCTAGCATTTGTAGAATTGTAGAAGATTCCAGTCCGATTCCTTTGGTGTTTGATGATGGCTGACCTCCAGGCTGGTGTTCTACCAGTCACTGCTGTAATTCCCCTCCAAGGTCTTTGGTGCCTGCTTTACTCTTGTCACTGAAATTCTGAAAGCCAAGAAAATCGCCCTGTACATTTTGTACCTCGTGGTTGAAGTATTTGTTAGTGAGTGGGAGGTAATCATAAGATATGCAAACTGTGACACAAATAGTAGGACTGTTGAAAGTTTCTTAGGAAGCCAGTGCTGTGCCATTGAAGACAGAACATAAAAAGAGACATTCTTCTAACTAGTCCTGTATGATAGCAGCCTAGAAATGAGCCAAGCTGTCCTCCAACCAGATGGTAGGATATACTGTGTCTGACTTGCCCCTGTCCTAATGGAAATTAAGTGGAAATTCACAGAATGAACAAATTCAAGCTTTAATAATTGGACTGCTTTCATAATACTTGATTTGTAACTATTTGGGTGAACTGTATTGGAACAGTATGAAAATCAGCAGGTGGCATGGGTCCCGGCCTTATTTTCATGTGCTAAGGATACATCTCTGGGAGCTTGCAGTACCCTTTTCAAAACTTAGGTGTCATATGGAGCTCATTTGCTACTAAACCATAGACAAATAAGTGATAGAACGACCTTCAGTATTTTTCTATTGAACAAATTTATCAATTTTTGCCATTAAACAGATAATTAGTTATGCAAAGTATTTAGCTTTTATAAATCATTTAATTATGACTAAAAGGGGGAAATTGAATTGCATCACTGAAAATGAACTTTGTGAGAAATTTTTTGTTTTACCTGACTTCCATTCCTTCAGTATTCTTGCTATAAATTTCTTTCAGAGATAATGATGAAGATTTATTTGAAAAAATGTCTAAATGTATGTATATTTTATAAATATATATTATATATATCATAGGAATATATATAATATATATAGACTCTATATATAAACCATAGGTGCATTTTACTGTTTATATCTTCATTTTGGGGGTAGTGTACCCAGCAGATGATGAGTGTTGTGCTGTTTGCTTTTGCAGTATAATATATAGTTCTAAATGTTTAAATTACTGTATATACTATATTCATTATAGGCTAGCATGCTTGTTTTAAAGACTGTCATACTAGTTTATTAAAATCTGAATGTAAGAAAAACCTGGCTATTCAAATGTGAATTGAAAAATTCCATTCTCAATACTGAACTATTTCCATTGAACATAAATGTGTCATCAAGACGGCAATAGCTAGAAAATGAGAGGTGCCTTTAAAAAAAATACAAATGCAGCCTTACAGTGAGGATGAAGATTGAATTTGTGTTAGGAGGTGGGAGGGAGAAGAGATGGTGCATGAGAAAGAAAGAGTGCGTGTGTGTGTGCGTGTGTGTGTGTGCGTGTGTGTGTGTGTATGTGTGTGTGTGTGTATGTATTATTTGCCAATCTGTGAAGGTCCTGATTTGTGACTGTCAATGTCTTTTTAATGTATCTGCTCAACTTCTAGGACTTCAGGGGACGTTTCATGCATAGTCTTTGTGCTCTTCTGAACACCTTATATGCTTTTCAAGAATTTTGAATGTGAATTTCTAGAAAATTCAGCAAAGAATAAATAGCTGTTCTTTAAAGTCAAGGTTAGGTAAAAGAAGAAATTATTGGTTCATCAAAATTGTGGGTTTCTCATTAGTGTTGTAACTTTTTACATCTTGCTTTTTATTAGCACTTCATATATTTTCCCTTTTCACAAAGAGCATGTCATGAAATTCTTATATGATGAGGAGTGAACTAGTAAAAATAATTTTTAGATTAAACACTTGAACTAGTTAAAATTCCACCTAAGAATAGTCTTGAAGTATTTCAGTGGCATCTGTCATATCTACCTCATTGTCATTGCTGCCATTTTAAGCAAAGCAGATCTTCATGACATCAGAAATGGTGGTGGGCTGCAATTCACAAACCTATGTTGGTGCTTCTCTCAGGCTTTGTCATCTGAGTTGTATTGTCACAAATCAGACCGAAAGGTTTAGGATTCAATTTAATTTTTTTTTTTAAAGAATGACTTAAAAATTAACCAGCAGTGTTCTTAGTGAGTGGAGATAGTTAATCTCTGGTTGTTATATCTATGTGATATTTTCAACCAAGAGTAAAATTGTTGCTAAATTTACCTGAAATGCCAGGCATGGTGGTGTGTCTATTATAAATGTATATAAATATTAGTGCCAGCTCTTGGGAGGTAGAGGTAAGAGGATGAGAAATTCAAGGTCATCTTCAGGTATAATAGGGAGTTCAAGGCCGCCCTGGTCTAAATGAGACCCTGTCTCAAAACAACAACAACAAAAAATTTATCTGAAAAAAAAAAAAGAGTTCTAAATGTAATTTTATTTGACTTATTTTATTCTTTGAATTCTATTTCCACACCATTACATATATAATCAGTCATTCACTTTGTTTGCTTAGAAGTTGCCTCCATAACTATATTACTTGTTTGTTTATATTGCAGTTCTTTAAGTGTTTGACACTGGGATTCTGTACAAAGAATTCTGTACAAAAGTAGTTCCTGATGAAATATGTGTATTTTTGTGAAATGTACCATCTCTTAAAGTCCATTTTAGGGGAAGGTCCAGAAAACTAATGTAACTGTCTTTAGCAGTCATGGTAAACAACTTGAATCAATTTTACATTTGCCACAGAAAGCTTTTTAATTGTCCGTATCAAGGATGCAGCTGGATCTCCAGTTAGCGGAAGGGGTCCAACTTGACCAAGTATTTAACGGAACCTTTGCAGCAGCTTTATTTTTATTTTTATTTTTTTATTTTGCAAAGACAAATGCTAGACCAAAAAAGGTCATTAGAACCCACTCATTATAGTCTAGCATTGTTCTGAAGTGGTGCTGAGGGGTCAGATTTTCTGGATCTTTGCTAGTTAAGCTTTAGCTTTCCTTTAACTGGGACCACATGCTTGTCATCCCTCTGGTGCAAATTTGAAAGTTCATGTTAATTTAGATTAACTCTAATGTCTGCCTGGGTTTTTAACAGGCTGTGAACCAGTGAGTGCCTTGTTAATGTAGAATGATTTTCGCCTCTGTTGTGTGTTAGCTCTTTCTGAAAACATGTCAGAGACTGGTTTTTAATTGACTTGTGGAGAGCTGCTAAGTTTGGCATTACAGCATCAGAAAGTCTTTGGTCTACTACATACTACTCATCCTGCTTTCTCTTCATTGTTTGGCTCATGTTGGCCTCTTGTGAGAAAACAAATACAGCCCTCTTCTCCACACTTTTTCATTCCAGATTTAGAGGTGTTCCCCATTCCCACCCCAACTATATGATCTAATGCCTGTTTTTAGGAAGAACCACTTCTTTGTAATACTAAAATCTACTGGTTATTTTGTCTTCTCAATGTCAGTTTACTGGAGTGAGACTCAGGGCATCATCAGTTCACATTCCTAAATAACCCTTTTTCTCCACATCCAACCCC